CTAACTCATTTATTCACATTCACACACCCATGCACAGCATCAGCAATTTGGCAATTTGGAGTTCAGTATCTTGCTCAAGGATACTTCGACGTGTGCCGGGAGGAGGCAGGGATCGAACCAACAACCTTCTGATAAGTGGACGACCTGCCATTCCTCTGAGTCACAGCCACCTGTTCCTTGTGAGCGAGTATTTTCCAAATGTGAAGAAGTTGTCAGCAAAAACAGAAGCCGGCTCAATTAAAAAAATAATGTACCTCAATAAAAATCTTTGAGTGTTCCCCATCCCACATAATCACCCCCTGCCATAGTTAAACAAGCACACCCAACCTATGCCATATTTTCCCAGCACTCTCTCCTCAATAACACAATACACACATTCATCAATCTTTATTTGTAAATAGAACATGATATAGATAAGAATTTTCAAAGCAAAGATACTTTAAATCCAAGGGTGATCAAAGCAAAGATGCTCCAATTCAAAGCTGTCTCAACCTGTCACCTGTCAGAATTGAGACGAAGCAGTGCCAGTGAACCACCTGATTGGACTGTGAACCAGTCAGCTGATTCATTCAGGCAATGAAGCAGTTGCTGTTTCCGACTTCATATGTCACATGATTTCTTTCACACCAAAGCAAGCTTTGAAGCATCGGTTCTATGGAGTTGTAGTTCAGGGTTTGAAGCACGTATTGAAGCTTCAGTGTTGCACTGCCATCACTACAACTTAGTCTCACTCCTTGTTCAGTGGCACTCGGCTTCAAAATATGACACTGTAGTTGTTCTTTTAGGGTCATTTGTGGAATGCCTGCCACCAATGTCAGATGATGTAGTCTAGATATTTTTTTTTGCTGATGTACTTAGATCAACTCAAGTGGAGGGCCATGGGGCAGTATCTGAAAAGCTGGCACTGAGAATATGTTGCTGAGGTAGATGAGATTCAAAGTGTATGTCTTGAGGCAAGGCTAACAAGTGAATCTCTCCGTAGCTTAGCCTGTTCCTTCAAGTCTATCACAAAACAATGTAACCAAGCAGGAGGGAAAGTCGACATTGTGATAGTTTCAGTGGCAAATGTTTAAATATAGACTTCTAAAGGATGTAGGCTTTCACCTCACACAACTCACCACAGTTTATGTAGTCTGCCTCTTTACCTGTGTATTCAACTGTGTTGTGAAAACAAAAAGTGGGCACTGGCCCAGCCATCCTGGTTTAACATCCACACTTGCTTCTCAGCAGCAACTAAATTAAGTCAGTTTACCCAGCCAGTGCAGATGTTTCACATCCCCTTAACATGGAGCTTCAGCAGGGAAGAAATCAGGCTTTAAATGGAGAAACTGTGGTTGTAGCGTTTGGGAGACCACACACAGCTAAGCAAAAAAAAAGACAAAGAGAAATAAATTTGCCTTTGCTTTCC